CCTCACTTTAAACCTCACCCAAACTCCACCCTGTTTGTATAATCAATCAGGGGACCACACTGACCCCATACAAGGCGCGGCTGCACTGGGGGAGCGGGCCTCTCGGCTTTGTGCCGGTCTTCATGGCCATCTTCTGGCTTCTCCCACGTTCTCCTGGCAGGCAGCTCTCTGGCCTCTCACGGCAGGTGCGTCTCCTCATGGGGTGGCCCACACTCACACGTGAATGTATGCTCTCATTTTTGCACCGCATTTATATCTCCACTTTGAATTCTTGTCTCCTGTGGGGGCAGGAACTTGGAATAAGAACCAAAAACCGTATTTCCCATAACAAAAGGACTCTCCCCACCCCTTTCCTGCGCATCTATGGTGTTCCGGTCACTTTATTGCACCCAGTTCTGCCCCATTACTGTACCCCCATAAATTCCCAAAGCCCTCTCGGTCTGGGGAGATTGGTTTGAGCTTCGTAATGACCTACTCCTTTATCTTGCAGGCCCACAGTTAATGATAAATGTTCTCTTTTCTGAAGATGAGTTCAGTGGTTTTACCCCGGTAACCGCGTGCACCGCTTGGAGGACGTGCCTCTGATAACTCCTCCAAGGCAGTGGGCCTGAGCTTCTCATCCTCACACGTGTTGCCTTCATTTGCTTGTCCCAAGATGCCCCCTCGAACCTTCAAATTACAGCTGCAGAAGGGCGGGCATTGAGCCCCGCAGTTAGGATGCCACTTGGACGCCTGCATCCCGTGTCAGAGGCTGGTTCCGGTCCTGGCTCCTCTGCTTCCACCAAGCTTTCTGCTCATGCACGCCCTGGGAGGCAGAAGATGATGATGGCTCAAGGACTCAAGTCCCTGCCACCCGTGTGGGATGCTGGGATTGGGTTCCTGGCTCCTGGCTGCAGCTTATGGCAGTACTGACTGTGGTGAGCATTTGGGGGGTGACCCAGTGGATGGAAGTTCTTTGTCTCTCTGTTTCTCTACCTTTCAGGTAAAATGAAAATAAATACATTTTAAACATTTTTTAAAAATTCCAGCTACTGGGAAAATCAAAGGCTATGACCAATAAACTGTCCATTTCCCACACCACCTGTCAGCTGGAGTGAAGTCGCGCAGCCACTCTAAATGCAAATGAAGCTGGAAAATACGATCTTTGGTTCAGTGTCCCTAGGCCCTGCTACAAATTCTGTGGCAGAGGGACAACAACATATTGGGGAGCGCTAGCATTCTTTATTTTTCAATTTTTAGAATTGCGGCAAAATACACACAACAACATGTAGCATCTTAATCATTTTTAGGAGTACAGTTTGGTGATATGAAATGGATTCATAATATTGTGCAGCCATCCCCGCCATCCATCTCCAGAACCCTTCTCATCTTGTCAAACTGAAACTCAGTCCCTGTTCATCACATTCTCCCCACCCCCCCCTCTCCCGGAAGCCCCTGGCAACCACAGTTCTAGTGTCTGTCCCCATGAACTTGACTGAGTGTCTCATATAAGCGGAATCACACAGTACAAGATTCTGGCCTTCCTATCCCGCCCCGTGGTTAATTCAGGGAGATACAGTGCGTGTATGTTGCTCAGCCTCTTCAGAGCTCAGGAGCCGGGGGTAATTTAACCGCGGGCCAGTTAGTCCCTCCAAAGAATCTGGGTGAGCACCTACTATGTGTGCTGGGTATGTGACAATGACCAAGACAGAAAAGTCCCTGTTCTCGCGGAGTTTCCATTCCGTAGGAAATGGCAGACAGCAAAACTGGGAATACGTAAGTCAGAATTTCAGATGTGACAAACACTGGGGAGAAAATGAAACCAGAGTGTGGCCAAGTGACCTAAGCAGTGGTGGCCAGGGGAGGCCTCTGTGAGAATGAACTTTGCATTGAGACCTGGATGGAGGGTGCCGAGGGGCCAGGGACAGCAAGACTTTGGGGAAAACAGCTCGGATGGGGCATCTTGGCTTGTCTGCTGCTGCGAGGGCAGAAGGCCACAGGCGGGCAATTCGTCAACAGTGGAAGTTTGCTGGGCTCCACGATCCTGGAGCCTGGGGAATCCAGGGGCAGGATGCCGTCATCGTGCAAGTACCTCCGTGCTGGTCCTGATGTGGCAGGGGGCGAACGAGCCTGGGGGGAGACGGAGAGGGGGTATCAGGCCGGCCTTCGGGCAGGAGCCAAGTGACGAGCTCCTGGAACAATGGCAGGTCTCACACAGGCCATCAGTATTGCCTCCTGTGATGTGCATTGGCAAGAAGCTGGCGTCAGGAGCCAGTGTCCCACCCCAAGCAGCAGCCAGGACACCCAGGCAGTGAGTGAGTGTGTGGTGCGCTCAGTGAGGGGAAGAGTGGCAGGAAGTGAGGACAGAGAGGTGGGTGAATGCGTCTTTTTAAATTTCTTTTGGGTAAATAGGTAGAAGCAGAAATCCTGGATCAGCGGCTAGATGACTGTTTAAGTTTCCAATGAAGCACCCAGTTGTTTCCCAAAGAGGTTTTCCTCTTTGCCATTGTGCAGCATAGGAGATCTCCGCCTGCCCCACACCCCCGCTGGTACCTCTGTCAGCAGTCACTCCGCTGGGTGTGTCCGATGCCCAGACACACCTCGGCTTCCCCTCGTATCTCTCTAGCGGCCAGTGATATGGAGTACTTTCTCATATGTGTTCTGGCCACCTGTGTCTCATCCTCTATGACGTGTCTGCTCAAAAATTGGGGGGCTGTTTAAAAAGTTAGGGGTTTTTTTTAATTCTTTTTTTATTTATTTTTTGACAGGCGGAGTTAGACAGGGAGAGACAGACAGAAAGAAAAGACAGGCGGAGTTAGACAGGGAGAGACAGAGAGACAGAAAGAAAGGTTTTCCTTCCGTTGGTTCACTCCCCAAATGGCCACTACGTTGGCGCTGCGCCAGTCCGAAGCCGGGAGCCACTTCCTGCTTCCTCCTGGTCTCCCATGCAGGTGCAGGGCCCAAGCACTTGGGCCATCCTCCACTGCACTCCCAGGCCACAGCAAAGACCTGGACTGGAAGAGGAGCAACCGGGACAGAATCCGGTGCCCCGACCAGGACTAGAACCCGGTGTGCCGGCGCCGCTAGGTGGAGGATTAGCCTAGTGAGCCGCGGCACCGGCCTAATTCTTTTAATTCTTAATTTTCCTTTGATTTGAAATGCAGGAGCCAAAAGGAGATCTTCCATCTGTTGGCTCACTCCTCAAACGCCTGCAATGGCTGGGACTGGGCCAGGCCAAAGCCAGGAGCCTGGAGCTCCCTCTCTATCTCCATAGCAACTGGAGTCACCACACCGAGGTCCTCCAGGGAGATCGGGGGCTTCCCAAGCACCATCTTGACCACTCTGCCAAATGCCTGCCCCTGTCTGATTTTTTTTTTAAATTTTTTTGACAGGCAGAGTGGACAGTGAGAGAGAGAGAGAGAGAGAGAGAGAGAGAGAGAGAGAGGTCTTCCTTTTGCCGTTGGTTCATCCTCTAATGGCCGCCACAGCCAGCGCACTGCGGCCGGCCAGCGCACCGTGCTGATCTTTGCCTGGCAACTGTGGGGCATTTGGGCTGTGCAGCGACAGAAATGGCAGCCAGGGGAGCAGGGAGGGCAGCAGAGAGCCAACCCCGCGTCTGGGAAAGGCCTTCCCCAAGCCATGGCCCTGCGTCAGCAGACTGAGACACTGCAGATCCTGGGCGGAGGCCCCCAGCCCAGCCCCCTGGAGCAATGCCCTCCACGCCATCCTCTCCTTCACCGCCCGGCCCAGACACCAATCCGGCCTGCACGCCTCTGTGGTCTGCACAGCGGTACTGATTGCAAAAGGATTGCAACACCTCTGGTCCGCCACCACCCAGCCCGTTCCCTCGCATTGCTTTCCCTTCCCCATATCCCAGCTACTAAACGGGGCTCCAGTACCCCCACCCTCCCCCACCCTGGCCACATCTGTCCTGATTGGACGGTGTGCCCGATGTCCTGGCTGCTAGGTCGAGTATCTTCTGGGGACAGCTCTGGTCTGGTGGGAGATGGCAGCAGGGGACCCAGTGGCTGGTGCTGCGGGGTGGAGGGAGGGGTTTTATCCAGGTGAGCTCAGGGCTGGGTGCTCGTAGGACAGCAGCGATGACAAGGATGATGAAGATCATTTCTTGAGCACACGCCACTCACTGTTTTCTTACACTTCCCCACACACTCACCCTAAACCGGACCAGTGCAGGAGCCTAGGGCCCTCCTCCCGCCCCTGCTCCCCCTGCCCACAGCCAGAGGGACCCTGTGAACCCAGAGTTGTGGCAGCGCCAGACTTCCAGTCCCCTCCCCTCCCGCACCAGCCACCCAGCGTCTGTCTCATGACAGTCCAATTTCCCCTTTCCTGAGCGCAGCCCCGGGGAGAGGCTGCCATGACGTGTGGGTGGGGGAGGGGTCTTACTAGCTCATCCCCAGCACTCTAACCTCAGGTTCCTCCTTCCTCCACCCCAGTTTGGGTTCCTGCTGGGGGGCTCAAAGACCCTGCCTCCTCTCTCCCTCTGGCCTCACTTTCTGCCACTTCCTCACCCTGCAGGGAAGCCCCCCACCTGCCGAGCCTAGAGCCCCTGCTTCTGTCTCGGGGCTGTGTGTTTCTACACCATCTTTCTCCTCCTTGCTGTTGTCTTCTTGTTGTTGTCACTCATCCTTTATTTTTCTTTCTCCTTAAGAATCAAAACTCTGTCTTTGGGTCCTGGGTTCCATTTCCGCCTTGGCAAGCACAAATGGGCATGATAAGTGATTTAACACTTGGGATGGAGTGCCTGCATTAGGGCCACATGCAAATGGCTCCTTAAAAAATTTTATTTATTTGAAAGGCAGAGTTGGTGGGGGTAGGAAGAGAGGGAGAGAGAGAGAGAGAAAGATCTTCCATGCCCTGGCTCACTCCCCAAATGGCCACAACAGTCAGGGCTGGGCGAGGTGGAAGCCAGGAGCTTCTTCCGGGTCTCCCACGTGGATGGCAGGGCCATCCTCTGCTCCTTCCCCATGCGCGTTAGCAGGGAGCTGTGAACCAGTGCTCATATGGGAAGCCAGCGGTCACAGGTGCCATCTTTCCTAACAACCCAGAAAGGTGGAGCTCAGTGGCCCGAGCTCGTCCAGCCGTGGGGAGGCAGAGCTGGCTCCAGCCCTAGCCACTGACCCTCCTGTTGCCATGGCACCGACACCGAGCTGGGGATGCGGGTTGAGGATTGACACGGGCACCTGAGCTTGTCGTGTCCGGCACCGGGCTGTCTGGGCCCGATTCTTTCTGATGTTCTCTCTCTCTGTCCCTCCTCCTTCGCCACTGTCCCCTCCTCCTCTGCCACCGCCGGCCTCAGACTTCCTCCTTCGCTTGGTTGGACGCTACGCCTCATCCCGCTGGCCCTCGGACGGTGGTGTCCAGTCGTATGCTGGTGTCATGGGGGGCCTGGAAAGCTCCAGCAGGCTCCTGTTCCTGCCTCTCCTTCTGACCGTGGGGGGTGAGTTGGGGGCTTCTGCAGCTGTCTCCTGAGGATTGGGGGAAGGGGCAGGAAGCAGGGTGGAGCGAGTGAACCAAAGGGGGGGTTGGACTGGAGCAGGTTCTCAGCCCCCCCAAAGCCTGAGGGTCTTTGCTGAGCCGCAGTCCCCAAGATTCGGTTTCCTGTAGAAAGCAGGGGAGGAGACATCCGAGTTGTTGCAGCAAGACAAGGCCCTGTAGAGGTAAAACCCTTCCATGGCCCTGACGCCAGCCAGGCGCTGCTCCCCACCCCCACTCCCAGCCTCCAGACCTGCACTCCAGTCACAGCTCGCTGCCTCAGTTTACCTTCTTCTTCCCTCCTCAGGTCTCAGCCCTGTCCAGGCCCAGAGCGGTAGGTCTAGCCCTTACAATCCCTCTTCCTACCTCCCAAAGACTTCCCCCTCTCTGCCCCCTCCCCAATCTTCCAGGGCCTCCCTCTGCTGACGCCCACCCCCCAGTTCCCAACCCCACACTGACCTCCTCCCCACCCCTACCCCCGCCGTGTGCCGATTCTCAGAGTGCACCTGCTCCTCCCTGAGTGCGGGGGCGCTGGCGGGGATCGTGCTGGGGGACCTGGTGTTGACCCTGCTCATCGCCCTGGCTGTGTACTCGCTCGGCCGGCTGGTCCCTCGCGGCCGAGGGGCTGTGGACGGTGAGTGGGACAGGCAGGGGTGGCCTGGGGCGCTCTGAGCACTGGCCTGGTGGTGGTGGTGGTGTTCTTGGTGGGGCAGGCTAAGGGCCTGTTCACTGGCGTCAGAGGGGTGGTGATGGAGGCTGCAAGGTGAGGACAACAGAATGGTCCCAATTCACTGTCCTGCCCGTCTTTTGCACCCTGCGCCCCCGCAGTGACCCGGAAGCCGCGCATCACTGAGACCGAGTCACCTTATCAGGTAAGGAGCCAGGCCTCTTCCCCGAATCTCACTCCTGCCTAGCAGGTGTCTGCCCTGTGTACCCCACACGCCCTCCGGGGGACCCTTGAAGCCACTTTCTCCAAAGCTCCCCGTGCCTAGAAGGCCAATGGGGGCATCTGTCCAAAACCGCATTACCTGATCCACCCTGGCCTTGTGCTCAGCTGAACCCTCGCGGAGAGGACATCCAGCGAAGGCTTTGCCTTGGTCAGGCAAGCTCAGGCCTTTGGAGCGGGCAGGCTCGAAATCGTCCTGGAAAATCCCTGGCCCCAGGACACCCTGATGTCTGAGAGCCACTCTCAGGAGGTTGTCATGCAGCCTTTGTTTGGGAACTCCGGAGAGGGGAGCCCTCCGATCCGGGGACTGTGTGTGTGTATGTGTGTGTGTGTGTGGCGGGGGGGGGGGGGGGGCGTGCTATGTCCCTTTAAGAAGCTGATGGAAACCAGAGACTTCAGAAAAGTCCACGCCAAGAATCACAGGTGCATATGATCTAGGGGCCGTGTCCGTGTCCTTGAACCCCTTCTTAGAAACTGTGGTGCGGACAGAGGCAGGGGCCGCGCCTCCGAGCAACGTGCACACACAGACTGGTCTTCCTATGGGATTTCAGGTTTCAGGGGTTCTGTGTGAGGCCGCCCCTTGCCCCATAGACTCCGCCCCAAAAAACCCCACTTGTGACCCCGCTCTGTGGAGGCAGGTGTGTGGTCTCACGTGGCCTGCCTGGCAGCTCTGCCTCACTTGTGAATACAGCTTCCTCCTAAGAATCTCAAGTTTGGCTCGGTAAGAGCCGGCGGGCCTCCGTGGGCTGGGAGTGAACTCAGGCTGTTCGGTGTGCCAGATGTGGGGCCCGGCAGCACAGCGCACCCCGCAGCTGGGGACACCGGCCAGAGTCAAATGAACAGACAGAAGTATGTTGGGACAAGTCACGAAGGAAGGAAAGTGAGCTGGTGAGACAGACTGGAGTGCAGGGGAGGGAACTAGAGACAAGGAAATTCACGAAGGAAGGAAAGGAGCTGGTGAGACAGTGACTGGAGTGCAGGGGAGGGAACTAGAGACAGGAAATTGAGAAACACTTCTCTGAGGATGTGACGTGAGCTGAGACTTGAAGCCGGGGAAGACTGAGGGAATAGCATGTGCAAAGGCCCCGGGGCCTGGGGAGAGGGGGAGGGGCATCCTGAATGGACTTGAATGCAGACCAGATCTCTGTCATGGCTATGATGCTGAAGCTGTGGGCCACTGGGAGAAGAGGGCCCGATTTTGTTTCGGGTTCATTAAGTGGGCCCGGTCCACTGATGGCCCCACCCCTTTAGGAGCTCCAGGGTCAGAGGTCAGATGTGTACAGCGACCTCAACACACAGAGGCAGTATTACAAATGAGCCCAAACCGCAACAGTCCACAATGGGACGCCTGGATCCAGTGCTTCCTGATGGCCACCCAGCGCCCCAGCGTGCCCTCCCTGACACCTCTCCCCTCTGTTGCTGCCAAATAAACATGGAGCACAAAACTGCTGTGGTGTGATGGTGGGGGCCTGGGGTGGGGGGAGGGGGCCACGCGGGGACCTGACCTACGTGGGCCTCGCGCCCGGACACAAGCTAAGCGGGAGGGCAGCTTTGGGAATCCTGAAATTCTTTGAGGAAGAATCAAACCAGAGGCATTTCAGTGGCTTTATTCCCATCGACAGCACAGAAAGGGCAGTGTCACGGGGCCGGGGTGAGAGGGCCAGAAGTCTAAGGTCGAAGTGACAGGAGGGTCAGCCCCGGCCCGGCATGTTCATGTAGATTTTGCCATCCTCTGGGGGTAGGGAAGAGAGAGAGCTGAAGCCTGACCACCCACCAGCGCCCCACATCCCCACCCCTGGGGGCCAGGGCTTTCCTCAGGGGCTCCCCCAGGCACCTCCCCCAGGGCTTCCCCAGCACTGCCTCCAGGGCTTCCCCTGGAGTCCCATCCCTGGGACCCCCTCCCTAGGGACCCCGCCCACACTCCGGGCCCCGCCCCGCCCCTTCCCTGCCCTCACCTTGGGTGGGCCTGTGACGTGGGCGGGCGCACGCAAACACCACCCCCACAACCAGCAGCGACACGACGGCGTCAGCAGCCACAAGGCCCGCGAGGAGCGGCAGGGAGAGGGGCCCACATCCGGAACAGGAACCTGGAGGGGGGGGCCCCGAGACGAGGAGGGGGCTGAGGGGGCGTTCCGGATCCCCAGGGCTGTGCTTCGGCCACGGGGAGACAGGAAGTTCCCCGCGGGGGCGGGGGAGCGCGGATTCCCTGGAGTTGCTCTTGGGGAAGAAGGAGCCAGGGCACCCCAGGGCCCCCCGGGCTGCGGGCGGGCACGTGGGGTACTCCCAAGGAGAGGCGGGGAGTGAGGGCGGGAGGAGGAGGGAGGACGCCCACACCCATCTCCTTCAGAGGGACACTCAGCACCCCCGCTGCCCACACGCAGCCCAGCCTCACTTCCCATCCTGCCCCAGACACCGCCACACCTTCCTGAAGACCACCAGGCGCGCGACAGCCCCACCCCCAACCCCGCCTCCTTTGCATCTCCGGTAGGGCCCTGCCCTGAACACCACCCGCATGCTAAGACAAGGCCGGCCCCCAGCCTGGGGGGCAGGTGGGGGGCTCACTCTCAAGGTTACCCACACCTACACCGCGTGTGCTCGCCCCCTTTGCCTTTCACCAAGCCCTGTTCTTTCCCCCCAATCTAAAAGCTCCTGGTTGTGTTCTTACATGCGGGCGACAAGAACCTGCAGGTCCCTCCCAGCCCAGGCGGTGCTCTCCATCCCCACAACATAATGGGGGGGTCCCTGACCCTCTAACAGGGCCACTGACTCCCTGGGGCTTTGGTTACCCAGAGAGGGCTGTAGGTCCTCTGGAGCCTCTAATTTGGGAAAAGGAGAGGAGCTGGTGGCGTGGAGAGACCCGCTGCGTTGTGCGTGGAGCGCAGGCCAAGCGTTAGGGACCGAAGCCGCACACCTGATGCGCCAGGGCCAAAGGGAGGGAAGGCTGTCTCACCTGGGGGCGTCTGAGCTGCCGCCACTGTAGAGAGACAGAGCAGGTGGATGAGGGGGGGAGGGAGACCCTCAAAGCAGGGTGCAGGGAAGGTCCCTGAGATGTCTTCTGGGTCCCGGGGGGTCGAATGGGACAGGGGTGCCGAGTGGGAAGAGGAGCACCCAGCCACAGAACAGCGGCAGCGGCTCAGAGACCCGGCAACGGGGGGGGGGGGGGGATGAACAGGCAGCTCCCACTCATCCCCAGTCCCCCCGCACCCCCCCCCAGCCTCCCAACTCCACCGGGACCCAGACCCAGAAACTGAACGGGGTCTTTAGGAAAGGAAGGGCCCGCCCTTAGCACCCCGCTGTTCAGATGTCACTTAAGACACCTGCTGCCCCATCCCCACCCCCCAAACCGCTGTCTTCACCTGGGAGGAAAAGCAGGAGCAGGATGTGGCCTGGAGGGACCATGGTGGGCTGGGGGCGGACGGGGCCTGGCCAAGACCTGTGTCCAGAGAGGTCTGGAGGAGCTGAGAGGGAGCTGAGAGGTAGCGGATGTCACCCTGCTGGCACCAAGGCCACCCACTTCCTGTGTGTTTATCTGGGGTGTCCTTGTGACCGCCTTTGGGGAACAAGCTGGGGGGAGGGGAGGGGAGATGAGGAGGCCGATAGGACCAGCCAGGTGGGAGTGCAGATGGGCCAGGAGGTGGGTGCTAGGGAGGTTCTGGAACTATCCTGAAGGCGGAGCTGATGGGGTGGATGTGGCCAGAACTGAGAGAGCCCTCCGGCAGGAGCCAGCCTTCGGGCCCCAGCACAGAGGGGCGCCCACTGACCCAGGGACCGGGCACCCAGCAGAGTGCTCCCTTGAATGAATCCATGAAGCCTACCCTCTGAGATGTGAGAAAGGGAGTGATTCCAGCCCACCCAGTACTCAGATACAGAACTGTCCTCTTCTTAAAAAAAAAAAAAAAAAGGAGATAATTAACAAAATTTAAATTCATTTTATTCATTTTTACTTATTTGAAAGGCAGAGAGAGAGAGAGATCACTTCCATCCCTGGCTCACTCCTTTGCCCACAACAGCCCAGGCTGCGTCAGTCGGGAGGCAGAAGCTGGGAGCCCAGTTGGGGTCTCCCATATGGATGGCGGGGACCCAAGGACCTGAGCCTGCTGCCTCCCGCGGTGCGTGTTAGCAGGAAGCTGGAGCCAGTGACTCAAACGCAGATGTGATGCCACGCGACCCCTTAACGGGCAGAAGGCCAGCCCCAGGTACAGGGTGTCCGTACTCCCAGCCCCTCCCCGCCTAGGGCCCTGGAGTTAAGACCAGCAGCCCCCTCCCCCTACGTACACACTCAAGAAGCCAGGGACGCCGTCCCCGCCTCCTCCCCGGAGACCCAAGAGTCAGCAGCTCCTCCTCGCTAGGTTTGCTGGAGCGAGACGCGGGGACTCCCGGGCCTGTGGGCGGAGCCTTGCCGGGTCGGGGCGGAGCCCAAACTCCAATTTAAAAACGCGCGGGGGAACCCTGCTAAAGCTTGGGGACCCGGCGGCGGCTCCGCGGGACAACAGCGAGGCTGGCGCAGCGCCGAGGCCGCGGCCCTGGGGGCCCGCCATCCGCGCCACGGAATCCCCGAGGTAAGGAGCGAGGGCCGGGGAGGCGCGCTCAGCTCCGCTAGGAGCGAGGGGCGGGGGGCCGCACTCTCCAGTCCCCGAGAGACCGAACTGGAGCTTCGAGGCCCAGGTCCTGAGAGCGAGGGTGCTGGCGTTTGGAGGGACAGAGGCCGGGACTCTTGGGTCGCGACGCAGAGCGGCTGGGATTCTGGACTCCGAGTCCTTGGGGACGCAGGGAACTGGGGATCCGGAATCCTGGGTCCCAAGGGTGAAAGGCCTGGGGGGGAGAGGGTTCAGACCTCTAGTTCGGACCCTTGGGGGGAGGGGGCTGGGGACCCAGACCCCGTCCCATAGAAGGCCTGATTCGGTCTTTGGGGGTGTGGTTTCAAACCGGCCACTAGTATCGATTGGAAGCTTAGGCTCCTGGCCTTGGGGTTCCCGCTGGCCGTGACCTTGGTCCAGCCCCGGGTTTCCCGCATCGCCCCCGGACCAGGGTCCCCGGGCTGGGCAGGAATTCCCCACGTGCGGGGATTCCACCAGGGCCACGCTTGGCCGCGCGCCCCGCCTCGGAGCAGGACACCTGCCGCCGGGCGCTGGGAGGGGAAGGGGAGACGGAAGATTCCCTTGCGTGTGCGCCGTGACGTCGGTGCGTCGCGGCTGGGTGTTTCCGAGTCGGCCCTCGACAGCTTAACCCTTCCTTCGCCGGAACCTCGGCTCGGAAGGTTGAGGCTTGAGGGTCTGAGAGCTTCCTGAGGGCTGGGAAGAAGGGAGTTTGGGGACCGGAACGTCAGGGGGCTGAGGGCCCGAGCTCGGGGGGCCTGGGGAATTGGATGCCGGGCTCTGGGACCGCCGCGTCTGCGGGGTGGGGCCCTGGACCCCCAGACACCTGGAGTGCTGGGGGCTGTTGCCTTGTGGGAGAGGGATCGAGGAGGGCTCGGAGCCCTGGCTTCCGGTGGGGGGGGGGGAATAGGGGGTTTGCCCCTAGAGCACAGGGATAGTGGCAACCCGGAGAGAAGTCTCCAGGGAGCGATGCCCGAAGCCTCCGAACTGGGCGGTCTGGGGTGGGATTTTTTACGGAAGCGAGGGGAGCTGCAGAGGGGTGCCCTCCTCCCCCTTCCTCAGTTTCCACTACGCTGGTGGAAAGTTGGGTCGGAGGGACAGTGCGGAGCAAAGAGAAGGAAAAGGCGGGGGCGGGCGCCGCACACAGAATCTGCTGCTGGCTTTGGACTTCCTTCTCGGCGGCACAATGTGCCAGTTTTTCCGCGCGGGAGGGCGAGGAGGAGGCACCCACACTCACTTCCCCCGCGCGATTGGTGACTTAAGGACCCCCTGACGACTTCCTCCCCTCCTCCCCCGCTCAGTGAGCCGGAATGAACGCAGCCACTGCCCGACACAGACGGTGAAGAAGCTCCTGGAAGAACAGAGGCGCCGCCAGCAGCAGCCAGATGCTGGTGGGGTCCCGGTGAGGCCCGGGAGCCCTGGGAACGGGAGCGCTCAGGGGCCCGGGAGCTGTCCCACAGGGATTTAGTGCCTTGCTGGGTGGGCCCTTGGGACTTAGAGACTTGCGGTCCTGACTGGCAGGTTGCGAACAGAGGCGGAGGAATCTGCCATCTGCCGGATGAACTGACCGGATGAACTGCTTCTACCTTTACAGGGACAGTTCCCACCTCCCCAGTCCCAGCTGCAGCCCCAGCCCCCGCCCCCGCCCCTGATCCCATCTGTGAATGAGGTGGAACCTGGTAAGTTGGGGAGAGCAAGCCCCTGGTTCCCCCAGTGCCCAGCCACAACTGTTAGGACTTGGGGTGGGGGGCTTGGAGGCCCTCGTTCATGCTGGGACTCAGCTGGCCCTCCCAGATTCCCTGGGGACCACAGGCTATGCCCCAGCCCTCCAGGGCCCCAGGCTGCTGGCATTTTGGTACCCCAAGAGTTCAGAGACCCCATCAGTCAGTCTGGCAGGAGTCCAGGTGCCAGCTGCTTGGTGTGCCAGGTTCTAGACCCCAGCCCTGGCTGTGAATTCTCCAGCTGTGGTAACCAGGCCTGTCCCTGCCCCCCCGTGCCCACTTCCTAGGACACCAGGACACCGTGGGCTCTGGCCTTGGCAACCTGGCTCCCGTCGCTGGCTTTCCAGACTGGGACTCCAGCATGCACACTGCCTATCCAGACAGTGCCTTCTCTTACCCCATGTGTCCTGCGGAAGCTACCCTCACGCCTGATTTCCACCTATCCTTGGACCAAGGGCGGTCGTGCCCATTTTCCCTGGGGATGGAGGTGAGACACAGGGTGGGGACAGCAGGCTGAGGGGCTCCGAGAAGTTTTGAGTTGTGAGATGTCTGGGGCTGGATGAAGATCCCCTTCCTCAAATGTTCAGGGTCACTTGGCACAGATGGGACACCTGGCCACTTGACCAGGGCGTGTGCATGTGTGTGTGTGTGCTGCGTGGTTAGGGCTGGGGGTTCTCGGCTGACTGCTTTCCCCATCATCACCTGCACCCTGCAGGACTCCCTGGACAGCACTCGGCTGTATGCAGAGCCTTCCATACCACAGCCAGCATCCTGGAGAGTTTCGGGACTCCCCCCGGGACCCCCACCTTTGCCCGCTTCTACTGGGCCATCCCTGGACACAGCGCGAGCTCACATGCTGGCTTTAGGGCCTCAACAGCTGCTGGCCCAGGATGAAGAGGGGGACACGTGAGTATGGGGGAAACGGGGTGCCCTGCAGGCTCCTCGCTCAGCCGAGGGGCTGTTCTCACTGCTGCCCCCACCTGTCCTCAGGCTCCTGCACCTGTTTGCAGCCCGGGGCCTGCGCTGGGCAGCATACGCCGCAGCCGAGGTGCTCCAGGCCTACAGGCAGCTGGACGTTCGTGAGCATAAGGGCAAGGTGAGGCCTGGAGTCCTGGAGGAGAGGGGAATGGTACTCCTGGTTCCTGGCCCTGAGGGCGCTGGCAACTGGGATCCCTCCCTTTGAGAGGGGAGGCTTCAGGGCGCCCAGACTAACTCGTCTGTGACCCTGTAGACCCCTCTGCTGGTGGCTGCCGCCGCCAACCAGCCCCTGATTGTGGAGGATCTGCTGAGCCTGGGAGCAGAGCCGAATGCCACCGACCATCAGGGACGTTCCATCTTGCACGTGGCTGCCACCTATGGACTGCCGGGAGTGCTCTCGGTACGGCCAGCTGGCAGCGGGCTGGGGGTGGGGGGGAGGCTCGGGTAGACCAGTTGCCCAGATCCTGGCTTCTAGAGCTGGGAGGCCTGGGGAGACCCCTTTGTAATAGCACCCTGTCTTCTCCCCACCATCAGGCTGTGTTTAACTCAGGGGTCCAGGTTGACCTGGAAGCCAGAGACTTCGAAGGTAAGGTGGACATGGGCAGGACTGGTGGGGCAGGACGGGCAGGGTGGGGCAGGTGCTCCAGTGTAGCTCCCTCACTCTCTCTGTTCTGCAGGACTCACTCCCCTCCACACAGCTATCCTGGCCTTCAATGTCGCCATGTGCCCACCCAACCTCTGTCCCCAGGGGCTGAGTACCCAAGCCCGAGACAGGCTGGCTTGTGTTCAGATGTTGCTGCACGTGGGTGCTGACCACACCAGCCAGGTGAGCTGGGCTGTGGGTGGCGGGCCCATGGGTGGGCGTATAGGATGGGGCCACTGACCTTGCCTCTTCCTAGCTGTGTGACCCCCATCGTGTTCCATCACTTCTCTGTGCCCTGATGTCAAGCTGGCAATGAGGTTACTGATCTTAGCTTACATGTGAGGCCCCTAGTCATGGATTCTCACAAACACCGTGTAAGGCAGGGATTCTTACTACTTTCTGTATTCTGCTGGTTTGGAAACAGGTACAGGGAGTCAGAAATTTTCTTTTTAAAGATTTATTTATTTAGTTGAAAGTCAGAGTTAGAGAGAGAGATCTTCCATCTGATGGTTCACTCCACAAATGGCCATAACGGTCAGGACTGGGCCAGGCCAAAGTCAGGAGCCTGGGCCTCCCTCCAGACCTCCCAGGTGGGTGACAGGAACGCAAGCACTTGGGCCACCTCCCACTACCTTCCCAGGTGCTTTAGCAGGGAGCTGATTTGAAAACGGAACAGCTGGGACTGGAACCGGTGTTCCGATATGGGGTGCCAGCATTGCAAATGGCAGATTAGCCCACTGCGCCACAGTGCCGGCCCCCAGAACGCTTATAAACTGTGAGTGTCAGAGAGGGGATTAGAACCCAGGAAGTCCGGGCCTAGAACCTGGCTCATGATTAGTGAATTTCTCTTCACAGGCCGCCCCACAGAATCAAATGCCCACCACGTTGTGTGATGGGACGATCTTAAGCTGATGTTTGTAATGTTGCATTTTACTTCCTATTTTTTGGTTTTAAAATGTTCTGATGCTCCTGCCTCATTCCCTTGTATTAAATACCCTGTGATATAAGAGACAGAAAACATCCATTTCATTAAACATCTGTGCCTTTAAAAGATAACTCTTCTAAAAAAAAAAGATAACTCTTCTAACCCCAGTTGCACTGTAAAAACTTAATGATAATCTCAAATATCCTGGCTGTGCTTTGGCTTGGAAGCGACAATTTATTTTTTCATTAAAAAAAAAATCAGGATCTGAATACAGCTCCTCCATCTCTTTGTTTTCTCTCGGTAGTTTATCTGGTGAGCAAACTAGGTTGTTCTGCCACTCCCCACGCGTTAAAGTGTTCGTGTTCGTTATTATTCCAGACTGCATAAAGGCACATAATGAAGTTTCATTTTAGAAAATGTCTTTTCTTTCTTCTAAGATACAAAGACAACAGCTCGCCAGCCCTGGGTGTAGTCTTAGAGCTGCGACTCCTGTTCTTGTAAACAGGGTGCGTTCAGTGTGTTAAAAATAGAAAGTGCCAGCCGGGAGAGCTCCTCCGAGCCTCAGAGACACTTGGGTAGGAGAATCCTGCCGGTGAATGTACACTTCTGTGAGCCGTCCCTCCCCTCCCGCAGGAGATCAAGAGCAACAAGACGGTTCTGCACTTGGCCGTGCAGGCTGCCAACCCTACCCTGGTTCAGCTGCTGCTGGAGCTGCCACGGGGAGACCTGCGGGCCTTTGTCAACATGAAGGTGGGGGCCCAGGCTGGGACCTGCAGATCGGGCGAGAGCCGCCAGGGAGGGATAGCGGGATGCAGAGGGGGCGGTGGAGGCGGGCAGAGTGTAGGACAGACAGGGAGGGTGCAGGGGCCGTGTGGGGTGGGGCCTGGGGAAGTGTAAGGTGCCCAGGCCAGCGGAGACCACATCCTTACCACCTTTCCCTCGCTGTTCCAGGCCCACGGGAACACAGCCCTCCACATGGCGGCTGCCCTGCCCCCTGGGCCGCCCCAGGAGGCCATCGTGCGGCACCTGCTGGCAGCGGGGGCAGACCCCACACTTCGCAACCTGGAGAACGAGCAGCCTGTACACCTGCTGCGGCCCGGGCCGGGCCCCGAGGGGGTGAGCACTGAGCCTGACCACTGCCCCCACCCCCAGTCCCGCCTTTAGAGGGTGCCTTCTAATCCCAAAAGGTGACCTCCACCCCACCCAACCCCGGCCTCCAGTATGACCTTTGACCTCAGTGTCAGGTTCTATACCTCAGGAGAGTGACTCTGACCCTGACCTCAAAGTGGGACCTGTACTTGACCCCAAGGTGTAACCTCTGATCCCCTGGAACACGAGGTCCAAATCTTAAATATGGCTTTTGAGTCCTTGCCTCTGCCCCGTGACCTCCGGTGGGGACCCCGAGAGAGCAGCCCCTTTCCCTCCACCCCCAGTTCTGGCTCCCGGCCCTCTCTGGGTGTGTTACTTCAGCCTTTCGCCTCCAATGCCAAGTCTTGAGTCTGGCCCTCTGGCCTTCGAACCCACCGACCCCTCTGGGCTTCTCCCCGACCCCTTCCTCCCCAGCGTCTCACTCTGCCTCGCTTGTCCACAGCTCCGGCAGCTGTTGAAGAGGAGCCGTGTGGCGCCCCCAGGCCTGTCCTCTTAGGACTCAAACCCAGAACCTGGACTGATTTTCCAGTCCCCACCGTCCTGTGGGACAGCCAGCGTATGCGAATGATGCAAATCCATGATAATGTATGTGCAGTGTCCTGCCATTGGGGTCTTACATTAAAACCCTGAAGTGGCTGCTGGGGGGGTTGAGCAGTCCCCAATATTTGGGGGTGGTGTGATGCCCCTCCCCCACCCACAAGGTGCCTTCTTGATGATTTCTGTGAAATCGAGGCCCCTTGATTGTTTCTGTGAAACACCCCGAGCCCCTGTTGCTTTACCCACCGGGATTTTTTTTTTGGGATCATCTCCCCTGACTGAGGTCTTTATACCTGGAAATTTAGATGAAATGTGCCCTATGTAGTACTCGGGGCATCCCTACATCATCCCAGGGTCAGGCCCCCTGACCCCTGCCTGAAACTCCCCATTAAACTCAGTTTGGACTAGAACTGCCGTGCTGTGATCTTTCCTGGGCCGCTGGTGCTGGGGAGTGGCTGTGGTGCCCTGTGGCGGGCTCAGGTTTGGATGAACGTTGCCTGGGTGGAACACATAGCAGACACCGTGGGTGCCAAGCCCACATCCCGTCACCCTCACCCTGTACCCACATGGTGGCTCGCCAGTGTTTACCGGGAGCGTTTTCGGACCACTGCCCCTCTCTCTGCTCTGCGTATGAGCACGGCAAGTCTCGATCCAGGGAGTTCGTGCCCGCTTCTTATGCCAGCAGCCTTCAACCCATGGCTGATAGGAGATGGCTTCTGAATGCGCCCGGTTCCCGCTGTCCCTGTAGGAGTCACTCGGACATGAGTGTTCAACTCGGGCTCCCCGCGTGCCCACACCACACTGCAGCTCCAGGTCCTAGGGTTCAGGCTTGATACCATTCCTTACCATCTCTGTGTCTCTTCTCACCTCCCCTGCCAGCGTTCTCCATCCCTTCCAAATAAACTTGTTCTCAAATCCTCAGGCCTCAGTGCCTGCCTCTGGAGTGATCCACAATGCTCCCAACTTGTACTGGTCCCACGGCCTCTGCTGTTTCCTCCGCCACACTCTAATCACCCAAAGGGCCCCCACCCTGAAATCCCTGGGACCATCTGCTCAGAGCCTCTTGGTGACAGCATACTAAGTGAATATGAGGGTGCCTGAAAATGGTTGTGGAAAATTAGAATTAAACGATGAAGTTTATTTTGGTGTAAAAAAGTAAAAATCCATGCATACATTTTCCCGTGATGCATTTTCTTAAAGATTAATTTGAAAGAGAGAGTGGCAGAGAGATGGTCCAACCGCTGGTTCACTCCCCAAATGGTGGCAGTTGATGGGACTGGGCCAGGCCAAAGCCAGGAATCAGGAGCTCCATCCAGGTCTCCTGCATGAGTGCAGGGGCCCAAGACCTTGAGCCGTCCTCTGCTGCTTTCCCAGGTGAGTTAGCAGGGACCTGGATTGGGAGTAAGCGAGACTCAAACAGGTGCCACATGGGATGCTGATGTTGTAAGCAGCGGCTTAGCCCGTTGTGCCACACACTGGCCCCACATCATGCACATTTCCTGTGAACTCTTGGAAGACCTCTTGAATAGGCACACTTCAGGGCATTTGCCAGTGTCTACACCCCAAAACTTAGGGGTTAGAGCAACCGCTTTGGGGACCAGGCATGTAGTCTAGCGGTTAAGGTACCCTTGTCCCATATCAGAATACCTGGGTTTGATGCCTGCCTCCAGCTCCGGACTCCAGTTTCCTGCCGATGTGGACCCTGGGAGACGAGGTGAGGGCTCCAGTAGCTGGGCTCCTGCCACCCTCATGGAAGACCTGGGTTGCATTCCCAGTTCCTCCCAGCTGTGGCCCCAGCCCCATCCAGCCTTGGCCAGTGTAGGCATTTGGGGAAAGAACCAGCCAATGGGAGTGCTCTCACCTTCTCTTCCCTCTGCCCCCACCCTCCTCCCTCTGTCTCTCAAATGAATAAAAATGTAAGAAACCTTATCGGTTTCTGATTCTGCAAACTGGGCTCAGCTGGCAGTTCTGCCATCTTGCTTTGGCTGCTCACGTGGCTGCAGGTGTGAATTCCAAGACAATTTCTGACAGCTCAGCTGAGATGCCTGGAACTGTGGGGGCAGGGGGAGCATCCCCAGGGTGAAGGTTAGTCCAGTTCTGGTGTCTGGGAGGTCCTTAAGTCACTGGAGGCGTGCCCTTGGGAGTGCCTCTTGCCAGAGGGCCGGTTGTGTAAGCCCAAGTGGAGCCCAGCTGCTCTCTGCTTCCTGGCCCACCGTATGACCCTTCCTCTGCCCACATCCCGAGCTCCCTCTCGCTGTGAGCTCCTTGGCACCACCTCGGGACTTCCCCAGCAAGAGCTCCTTCAGGGGATGCCAAGCCTATGGGGCCACCTGACCTTGGACTGTGAACCCCCAAAACTGTAAGCCAAAGTAAACCTCTTCTCCTTGTAAAGTTAGCGTCTCTTGGGTATTTCACTGTAGTCATGAAAAGCTGATTAACACACCATGTGGCAAAATCACATGACCAAGCCCAGAGTCGGTGTGGAGGCGCTCTCCAAGGGCACGGTTGTTGGGCAGCAGAGTTATCAGGGACGCCAGTGTGAAGCCTCCTATATCAACTACCGTGTGCCAGCATGGGTGTTCCTACAGCGCTGACACAGTGACAGCTGGTCCATGGAGTTCGTGGGCATGTACTGTATGTCATTGATTCTAAGGAGAATGTACTTGAAAGCCATCACACAACTGTGTGACACAATCTAATATTTACTTTATTATTATTGTCTTATTACCATGCATGGCATCTCAGATTTCATTGACATAAGATGGATATATTGGGCCAGCACTGTGGTGTAGCAGGTTAAGCTGCCATCTGCGGGGCCAGCATCCTATATGGGCACTGGTTCAAGCCCCAGCTGCTCTGCTTCTGATCCAGCTACTTGCTAATGTGCCTGGGAAAGCAGCAGAAGATAGTCCAAGTGCTTGGGCCCCTGAACCCACGTAGAAGACTCGGAAAAAACTCCTGGCTCCGGATCAGCGCAGCTCTGTCTGTTGTGGCCATTTGGGGAGTGAACCAGCGGATGAAAGATTCTCTCTCTCTCTCTCTCTCTCTCTCTCTCTAACTCTGCCTGTCAAATAAATAAATAAAATCTTTTTTAAAGAGTTAGAGAGAGAGAGAGAGAGAGAGAGGTCTTCCTTCCATTAGTTCACTCCCCAAGTGGCTGCAATGGCCAGAGCTGTGCCGATCTGAAGCCAGGAGCCAGGAGCTTCCTCCAGGTCTCCCATGTGGGTGCAAGGGCCCAAGCACTTGGGTCATCCTCCACTGCTTTCTTAGGCCACAGCAGAGAGCTGGACTGGAAGAGGAGCAGCCGGGGCTATAACCGGCGCCACAGGTGGAGGATTAACCTAGTGTGCCACGGCGCTGGCCCCATAAATCTTTTTTAAAAAATTTAAAAGATGTATATCTGGAGCCAGCAGTGTGGCACAATAGATTAAGCCACCATCTGCAGCACTGGCATCACATATGGGTGTGGGTTCAAGTCCCAGCTGCTCCACTTCCAATCCAGTTCCTTGCTAATGTTCCTAGAGAAGCAGTGGGGGCTGACCCAAGTCCTTGGGCCCTTACACCCGTGTGTGAGACCTGGATGAAAAGCTCCTGGCTGCTAGCTTTGGTCTGGCCCAGCCCTGGCCGTTGTGGCCATTTGGGGAGTGAACCAGTAGGTGAAGATCTTTCTCTCTCTTTCTGTCTCTGACTTTCAAATAATAAATAAACACATCTTTTAAAAATAATAAAAAGGATGTATATCCGGATTGGTATGGTGATGGACTGCATTTTTTTATTTTTAATTTTTAAAATTTATTTTAAGGGCAGAGAGAGAGAAAGAGAAAACTTTCCACTGGTTCACTCCCCAGATGAACACAATGGCTAGGACTGGATGAGATTGAAGCCAGGAGCTCAGAACTCTATCAGGGTCTCCCACATGGGTGCAGGGACCAAGTACTTGGACCATCATCTGCTGTTTTCCCAGGCGCATTAGCAGGGAGCTGCATCAGAAGCAGGAGAGTGGGGACTTGGATCTCCCTCGGTTATGGGATGCTGGTGTCGCAGGCAGTGAGTTAGCCTGCTGAGCCGCAGCCCTGGCCCCTGACTGCATGTTTGTGTTCCACCTCCGAGTTCATATATTGAAACTGAAAACCTCAGTGGAATAGCATTTGTGTATGGGGACTTCGGGAGGTGATTATGTCATGAGGCTGCAGCCTTCATCATGAGATCTGTGACCTTATGAGAAGAGATGTGAGAGGGCTTACTTCCCCTTTCTGTGCCATGTGAGGGAGGACACCGCACCAAGATGGCAGTGTGGAGACCAGCAAGACGGCCCTCATCAGACAGCGAGTCTGCTGGCAGCTGCAGCTGTGAGAAACAGTGTGTCTTGTTTAAGCCACTCAGTCTGTGGTATCCTGTTACAGCAGCCTGCACCAAGACACAAACACACATACACTCACACACTCACACACACACACACACACACCACTAACATGATAGCAGCTTTGCATTATTAAAAGATGAATTATCAGGACTGGCACTGTGGCGTACTGGGCTAATTCTCCTGCAGTGCTGGAATCCCATAGAACACCAGTCTATATCCCGTAGAACACCATTTCTAGTCCCTGCTGCTCTTCTTCCGTTCCAGCTCTCTGCTGTGGCCTGGGAAAACAGTAGAAGATGGCCCAGGTCCTTGGGCCCCTGCACCTGTGTGGGAGTCCTGGAAGAAGCTCCTGGCTTCAGATGAGTCCAGCTCCGGCCATTGCAGCCATTTGGGGAGTGAACCAGAAGATGGAAGACCTCTCTCTCTCTCCCTCTCTCTATCTCGCTCTCTGTCTATAAATCTACCTCTCAAATAAATAAATAAAATATTTTTTTAAAAAACCAGAATTATCAAAATCATCTTCAATGGGACACAAGAGCATCAAATGGAGACTAGAAAACTTATTTTTTCTGCTGAAACTTAAATAAAAGTATTTTAGTATTTTAGTATTCAGTATTTCCACGAATCTGCCAACTTTCTTACAGCGTCACACACTGACTGCACTGAGCAGTGTGGCCTTTCATTTCCTGCCCATCTGCTGGGAGTTTCTTGCGTGTTGTTAATCTATTTGTCACTCCTGGTTGTGGAAACACAAAGGCATCTTTTCCCCTTGCATGTGATGTTGATAATAGATTTCTGCCAGGCACATCTGAGTAAAAGAAAAGGTGTAACCAGTACCAGAAAGGTGGTACAGTTTGTTAACACGACTGTGGCATTGTATCCGCCTTGCATCTTCCTTCTAACATCTACCAGGTGCACATTTAATATAAACGACTTATATCTGCATGTATATATTGTGAAGAGTCATTGCTAGCCTGTAGGCTTTTGGGAGAATTAGAAAGAAGCACTCCCTGCCCAAACCATGTGGCAGAAAAAGCCTGTGTTGTACAGACATTCGAACATGGCACATTACTGCCATCTGCTGGCAAGTCTGCAACGGTCTGACCTGGAACTTCGCAGAGCAGTTTGCTATCTCGTGAGACACCCTTGAGTTACTTAGACAGCAGGTTGCAATGTGGCCAAGATTATGGATGCTGGGGCCAGGATGTTTGGATGGAATTCCTAGCTCTGGCCCTTTGCAGATGGTGACCTTGACACCTGACGTGACCTCTCTGCCTTCATTCCTAATCAGTGGGCATAGTCACAGTACCTACCCCCTAGAATGGAACTAATGATTAAGATTGCCAAAGCATGGAACCCTCAGAGCAGTGCCTGGCACTGTTTGCTGTTACAATGTTCCAAAATGTAACAAATATGAGGGGATTTCAAAGTTTGTGAAAAGGAAGTTTATTTTGGTGCAATTTTCTACCCATGCATATTTCTTCACGACATGCATTTTCCATGAAGTTTTTGAAGGCCCCTCTACTTGCTAAGTGTCAGTCACAGTTCTAATAACTCCTCAAATATTAGTCCTTTCCAATTCCCTTTACAACCTTCTCGGGATAGGTAACAGCACACGCAGAGGGCTGACTCAAGCACATCACACAGTGGTACACGTGGGAGCGTAACTTCCAGTGTCTTGTAGATGGCACATAGCCCTCTCCCGGACACGTGCCCGGAATTTCCACGCCCCGTGGGGATCCTTAAAGAGAGGTGAAGGTTTGGGGGAATGAGATAGGAAGGATAGTTCAAGATTCCCAGGTTCTTACAGCGCCCGCAGGTTCAGGTGGATGCTGTGTGCTACTGTGTGAGGGCGAGTAGAGAGAACTCAGCCTGCTTAGAGCCCACGCCGCTAACCCACGGGCAGAGGCCTGGAAGGCGTGGCCAGTTCAGCACCCTGGAAAGCTCCCGAGTAGGCGCGGGGAGCCAATCCCAGGTCTTTGGGCTCCGCCCCTGAGCGCCAGCCCCTCCTTAGATCCTGCCAAGATTTAAAGCTACGTGAGGTGAAGGGGCGGGTAAAGCTGCTGCCTGCAGTGCCGGCAACCCATATGGCTTCTGGTTCGAATCCCGGCGGCTCTGCTTGCGATCCAGCTCTCTGCTGTGGCATGGGAAAGCAGTAGAAGATGGGCCAGGTCCTTGGGCCCCGCAGCCTCATGGAGACCCAGAAGAAGCTCCTGGCTCCTGATCAACTCAGCTCTGGTGGTTGTGGCCATTTGGGGAGCGAACCAGTGGATGGAGGACCTCTCTCTCTGCCTATGCCTCTCTGTAGTTCTGCCTTTCAAATAAATAAAGAAAGAATTGAAGGAGGCCTGGAACAGATGGACACCAGCTGGGCTGTGATGCAGACACAGGACAGCCTGGTGGGTAAGAGGACTTTATTGGGATGTTAGTGGGGAGACGTGGGAGGGTGAATTTCAAGGAACAACAGACACTGGGACCAAGGAGGTGGTCACCTTAAGGTGCAATAAATTAACTTACAAAATAAATTAAAGTGAGGAGGTTCCCAGTGGGGAGGCAGCTGGGAACACCTGGGGATTTCTTAGGGGTGGAGATGGAATTGGAAAGGGGAAATAATTTCCAGCCCCTCACAAAGGGTATGAAATGAACTTTTCAAGACCCCTCTTCCCACTCTAGGCTGGGAGTCAGGGTTCCGGGGCTCCAGGAAGAGGGGGGTCCGGGCTCAGCTGAGGGTGTGAAGAGGGCGGGTTCAGGGTCGTTCCTCCAGGAAGCGGTAGGTGGGGTTCTCGTAGCCATGCCGCTGCAGTTCACGGAGCTGCTGCTCCTCCAGGGTCAGCATGGGGTCCACCTGCAGGAGGGGCGGGGAGAGGTCATGGGGCGCCGGGACCTGACAGCCCACGTGCCCCCCCCCCGCACCCTTGTGCCTCTCACCTCTACCACTCCGTGGCTGATGGCCCCATGGGGCTTCTTCTTGCGTAGGAGCAGCAGGGAGAGGACAATCAGGGACCCCCCGCCTGCCCCCATGATCAGCAGGCCGGACACGGCCTCACGGGACACGCCGGTCCCCGCGGGTGCCTGCAGGGAGAAGCAGTGGAGCAGGGGACATCTGTGAAGCTCTTTTGGTGTGGCTGTGGGAGTCACAGCCTAGCCACTGACCTCTGACCTCTCCCCTTGGGTGCCCAAGAGCTCCCTCCTCTTACCAGCTCATCTCTTTGAATCTCCGATGAGTGGAAGGGAAAACCCCTTGGAATAGTCACATTCACCTGGGGGGAGAGGAGGGGAGGTGCCATGGGTCCTGGCTGTCCCCTCCCCCACCCCAGAGGCCCAAGAGGCATCCCCAGGTCCACTTCTTTCCTAGGAGCCTGAAGTCCATGTCCTCAGCCCCCTCCTCCCTCAGACCCAGGAGTGCAGCCTCCCTCTGTCCTGCAGGAGCCCACGGGTCTGACTCTCTTACCTTTTGCTCATACTGCTCCAACAGGGATGGCTTCTCTTTCCCAGGGGATGCAGCCTCTTGTTCTGTGGACCCTACCCCCCAAGTCGTTTCTCACCCTCGAGGGTACAGGGGGATGGTACCCCCTGCCCGAGGAGGGGGTCACAAAGGGCGGCAGACTGCACCCCAGGAGGCCTGGGGTTCCCAAGGTTTGGACCCGTTTCTGTTGTGGGTTCAGGAGTTCAGTGGGTTGAGTGGCTGGGCTCTACCCTGCGAGACACTCACCTTTTGGAAGGGTCATGGGGGTGTCTGCTAGCAGCCAGCGGAGGCAAGGCAGGGGTGGGGTGGGAAGAGGAGGTCTTCATCAGAGAGGGGTGGAGAAAGCCCCTCCCGGGGTGCGGAGAGAGGGCCAGGGAGCTTGCAGTGGCCCCCACAACCTCTGCCATTCCTCCCCACCCCTTCACTGCTGTGGCTGAGGGCTCCCAGATATCGGGTTAGAGATGAAGTCAGGGCCTTGCCTCCCCCAGAGTCTGGGGTTATCTACAGCCAGGCTCACTCACCGTCCTTGGAATCTGGAGGCAGCAGCCCACTCTTGTCCTCACTGCTGCCCCCAGGGGCAGGGGCTTCCAATTCGCTGGGACCCAGGCGTTCTGAGTGGAGGAGTTCCTCTGAGGGGAATAGGCTTGAAGTCAGCTGAGGCCGTAAGCACAGGGATTTCACAAAACAAAACGGGGTGGGCGAGAGCCGCCCTAGCCCTGGAGCGCTGGGGAGACCCTGCTGACAGCAGAGTCAGCCCTGAGAGTGGGTCAGCTGTAGGTGTGATCTGGCAAAGAAGGGAGTGGATGGAGACAGCCCTGGCAGGGCGGGCGTAGGATGAAGCTCCGAGAGTATGGCTTCCTCAGACACCAGGAGATCCACGTTTAGGTGAGGGACGTCCAGGAGGAAATCACAGCAGGCCTGGCAGCTGGGCAGCTCACAGTTCCCGGCATTCATGCTGACGTGGGCCCCTCCCCTCTAATCTGTACTGAGTTTGCAGTAGATGGGCAGGACCGGTGTTGTGGCACAACAGATAGAGCTGCCACCTGGGATGCCAGAACCCCATAGGGGCACCGGTTCAGGTCTCAACTTCTACTTTTGTGCTTGGGGGTGGGGGTGTCCTAAACCACCATATGTGACAGCCAGCTACCCTGCTGGAAAAGCCACATCAAGATACTCCACGGAGAAGAGAGGCGCTGAGCTGACTTGGAGAGGGAGAGAGGCCTGTGTGGCAGAGACTCAGCCCCCAGAGGATCTGCTAGCGAGACATAACTGCATGTTTAACTACCAGAAGAACCGCCCAGCTGAACCCAGACTAGAGGGCAGAGTCGTGAACAAAGAACACTGGTCGTTGACTTAAATCCCTAAGTTCTGGGGTGGTTTGCGACACAGGAACTGAAATAGGTGGGAGATGTTGAAGGCTAGGGGTCAAGGTCAAGGTCTCAGCCATCTAGAAGGGGACCAAAGGCAATGGGCACTCACGGATCTGGGGCCGCAGCTCCTGAGCCAGCTGAGGGTTCTGGTCAAGGAGTCCCAGGCTCTGGTTCATCCTCTCCTCAATCACCCGAAGGTGAGTCTGCACCTGTGGGGGAGGGGGCACGACCTGTGAGCTGGGCCATGCAGGCTGGCAAAGGGGAGATGGACGTAGGGAGAAGGAAGCAGGGTCAGGAATTGGGCCGTAGATGGAAGGAACATGAAAACAGAGAAGCAGGACACAAAGAGCAGAACTACAGAAGACAGGAAGTGAGAGGCTTGGGAAAGGAAGTGAGGTACAAGGAAGAAGAGTGTCGCCAGGAAAGTGGGGCACAGGAGACAAGGTGGGTGCACAGACTGTGGCGCAGAAGACAGTGAGTAGAGGTGATTGGGGCAGAAAATCGGGTCTGGGGAGCAGGCAGAAGAGCTGGAGACAGGAAGAGAGACTGGAGGGTGTACAGCAAGGCAGGCTTCAAAGGCAGGGCTTGGTGGTCCCAGAAGTACCAAGCATTTCATGGGCAGGAAGAGAATGCCTGGGACAGAGGCCCAAGAATCTGAGGCCACAGACAGAGAAAACAAGTGTGGTTCGGGACCAAAAGGGTTCAAGGTCAAGAATGAGGTCTAAGGCACAGGAAGGAGATTTGGGGAAAGGTGGTAGAAACCCAAGGGACTGGAAATGGGAACCCATGGGACAAAGGAGGCAGGAGGCCGTGTCCCAGGATCAGGAAGCAGGAATCCAGGAGACAGGAAACGGAGTGAAGGGATGGGAAGGGGTCTTGAGGCGCTAAGAGGGGCCCAGGGACGGGAGGAGGATCAGGAGTGCGCACCTGGAAGCGCATCTGCTGGGCTTTCTCGGGGTCCACGGCAGCCACGTGCTGGTAGTGGCGCAGTGTGTGTCTCTGCTCCTTCTGCTCCGCACGCAGGTAGCGCCGCAGGGCCAGCAGCACGCGCTCCGCCTGCGGGAGGGACAAAGGCTGCCCGGGGCCTGCCCCAGCCCTTCTCACCCTCTGCTCTGTGCCCCCCACGGGCCCCACACCTGAGGAGGATCCCCCTGCAGTGCTGCCAGGAAGCCCTCCAGGGCGGCCCGGCGCTGGTCGTTGATAAGGGCGATGACTCGGGTGGCGTGGGTCTCCACCAGGCGCTGTCGCTCACCAGACACCTGCTCCTCCAGGGTCTGCAGAATGGACTGGAAGTGCTGGTGAGGGGGTAGGCAGAGGGTCAGGAGAGATGAAGATGGGTGAAAGCGAGTCTGCAAAGGCAGAGCTCTGGGGACAGAAGGCTGGGGTGCAGTGGGGCTCGGCCCAGGGCAGAGCCAACTTGGGGTTAGACTAGATCAAAGGAGACTGGCCAGAAGGGGTAAGGTGCAGGGTCAGGTACAGTGGGGGTGGGACTGGGCCTGCTGGGAGCCAGTCTAAGGGTGCATACGGTAAGACTGGGAGGGAACAATCTGGGGCCAGAACTGGCTAATGGCAAAGTAGAAGGGACCAAGTATGAAGAAGCAGTCTGGGCTCCAGGTCTGGAGAGGGCCAACTTGGAGACTAAATGAGACTAACAGTGGTGAACCAAGAGCCGGAATGAAGGTAACGAGTGGGGTCTATGCAGTGAACACGGGGGCTGCCTGCTGGCAAGGTTGCTGGTCGGTGAGATCAAGAGGGGCTGAATGAGGAGGCGCCAAGTAAAAGTGAGATTAGAGAGGGAGGCCAGAGTCCCACGGGGATGAGGACAGGCCTAGAAGGATCTGGGGATGAAGCAAGGCCTAGGAGGATCTGGCTGCATCTGTAGCCAGTGGGGCTTGGAGGAGGACGCCAGGGTCAGGCCTCAGAGGGAAGTCAAGTCAGGATGGGGTGAGCCTGGCCGATCTCAGTGCAGAGAGCAGTGTCAGGCAAAGGCCTGGGCCAATCGTGGGGTGGGGCCGGGTGAGGTGGGGTGGGGGGAGGTAGGAAGCAGGAAGAGCCAAGTGGGGCGGGACCATGCGAGCTCTAGGGAGGACCCTTGGGGGCCAGCCTACCTCATTGAGTGCCTGTCTGTCAGCTTTAGGCAGGTTCTTGGACTGGTTGTCCGCCATGGCCCATTCACGCATCACCTGGGGTGGGGGCAGGGAGCTTCGTGATCCTGGAATCCACCCTGAGCCCATCTGGTGGGTCCCCCAGTCCCTCTCCAAGACTTTGGGAGCTCTAGGTCTCCTGAGTCCCACCGACTCGTGGGCTCCCAAGGAGGAATACGCAGAGGAGTTTAAGGTGAACAGTGCCCCGGATCAGGATTCCCACAGACCGACAGCTTCTCAACAGGTTTCTAGGGGAGTCGGAACTCCCTAGCCATCCTAGGGGGTGGTGCTGAGGGCTCAGGGTCTAAGGGGGCTTGGGGAGCCCTCACAGGCAGGCTCAATGTGTCCCCGGGGATTCCTTGGCACTGAGGGTACTCTGCCCCGGGAGTGGGTCCCGGGCCCCCAGGATCTTCACCTCATTAATCTGGCGCATCCTCCGCTCCTCCAGGTCCATCTTGGCCCGCAGGAACCCCTCATGCTCGCTGATTTCCCCGGGCATGCCGAAGTAAACATCCACGCCGTCTGTGGGCCTTGGGGTGGGAGTGACTGCAAGACCAGGGACCAGATGAGCTGCTGACCGGCCTCCCCATCCCCTGTCCTACCTGGAGAACTACCTTCCCTAGAGCACACGGAAGACCATCATGCATCCAGGTTAGCCGGGCTGCTGCCTGGCATCATGGCAGATGTAGTTCCATTCTTGCAAAGCTTAGGATTCACTTAGACC